GGGGATACCAGGCTGGCCAGGCCAACAGGACAAAGGGGCTTGGGGGAGGCAGGGGCCCCCCCTTGCCCTGGCCGAGGTCTCCCAGCTGCCCCGCGGGGAAGGGGGAGTTTTCCCAGCCGCAGCGGGGGTTGCAGTGGAGACGCTCCGGTGACGTTGCACTGCCCCGGGCATCCCAGACGAGAGGCCCCCGCTGGGAATTTGGGGCTTGTGGTCGAGCCGGGATCTGTCCTAATTGCAGGTCTGCCAGCGGGCGCGGGCAGCTCTTGTGTCACCCGGCACCGTCAGAGGCTGCGTGGCCAGGGCCCTGGGCAGCTCGCCCAGCCCACCTGTGGGCCCCGCCGCCCGCTCGCCCCCACCCGCCCCGGCCATGGCTGGGGTCACAGGTCAGGGGGAGTCCGCGGGCCCGGCCCGGTTCGGCTCGCAGAGAAAGAGGAGCAGAGCCGGAGTCAGCCCCTCTCCCAGCTGGTGTATTGTGCACCCCCCACCGCGCCACTCTGTGTGCGTCACACACACACACACCTACCACCTCACATACACACACCCGTACTGACACACACTCCCCGCCAAGTGCACACCCACCCACCAATATGTGTGCACACACACAATCCATACACACGGATTGTGCCGGCACCTAAAGGCCACCATATGTGTTCCCAGGTCCCAAACACACACATGCACAGAGGGATGTGTGGGAACACACCCATGTGCACACACACACACCCCGGGGCATGGGGCTTGTGGGGACAGCACCATGGGGCATAGGCGCCAACTTTCCCTCCTAGCCGGGGGGGTGCCCAACCCCCGGCCCCGTCCCAGGCCCCACCCCATCCCCACCCCTTCCCCAAGCCCCCGCCCCGTCCTGCCCCCTCCCGCCTCCTCCCCCTTCCTACATGCTGCAAAACAGCTGTTTGCAGCCGGCGGGAGGTGCAGGAGTAGACTGGCGGGGCCGCTGGCAGATGAGAGGTGCTGAGGGCGGAGCTTGGCTGCCAGGGGGTGCTAAGCACCCACTAATTTTTCTCTGTGGGTGCTGCAGCCCTGGAGCACCCACGGAGCCGTGGGGAGGGCCCGGGGGAGGAGGACTCAGACTGGGGGCCGGGGCAGGGCCCCAGGGAGAGCTGGGCGAGCGGGGGGGCTTGGCCCATCCTCCCCGGAGTTCAGCGGCTCGTGCTGGGTTTGGGCGCCGGCCGGAGCTGGATTTAGAAGGTCATTTTCTCAGCAGGGAGCTGGGAGGGGTTTGTGCAGTGCCCTCCCGGCCTTCCCCCGCAGTCTGTGGCGCGCTCATCGCATCGGCTTCCACTACCACGGAGCCGGGCAAGGGCCAGGGCAGGGGGCGCCCTCCCAGTGCCTGGGGGCCTGACACCCCCATTGCTCAGAGTCGCCCAGGCCCCCCCCACTTGGCTTCACCTGAGCTTTGGGGACATTTCCAGCCGCAGCTCGGGGCTGGATCAGAAGCGAGCCGAGCCCAGACCCCTGGGGACTACGGCGAGACAGCGGGAGAGGAGTCCGAGCTTCGCGGCCCCTGCCACTCCTGCCAGAGGAGAATCTCTGCTAGCCATCAGCACTACAGGGCTCCTGACCCACAGGGCTTAGTCCAAGCAGCGGTGGTCAGGGCTGCAGCAATCACTTGGGCTCTGCGGCCCATGTCCAAACCCACCCACCCCCAGCCTGGGGCAATAGGGGGCAGGGCTGATGGGGAAACACCCTGCATGGGGCAGGCAGAGACCAGGGGGCAGCGGTGAAGCGTGGGCTAGCAGGCCAGGCTGGCTCGGGCGGGGTGGGCCGGTGGTGGGAGCCTCTCACCTGTGAGTGGCTGGTCCAGTCTAGGCCCCGGTCAGCGTCTCCGGCAGGTTGTTCCCTTTAGACGGTGCCGTGAGTCGAGTTTGGTGGGTCTCAGCTCACTCTGGGTGTCATGGAAGCCACACGCCGGATCCGCCCTGTCCTGGCAGACGGGCCAAGGGATGAAGCCGCAGCTCGAGCTCCCCACCGGCCCCTGGGCTCCCAGCAGTTGAGGCCAGTTGGACCAAGTGGCCCCTGGTGAGTGCCAGGCAGGTCCATCGCTCCGCTGCACCCCCAGAAATCAGGCCCTGAAAGTACCGCAGGCTGGGCCCCAAACCGCTCGCCCCCGAAAGCAGCACCCCCGTCCCGGCCAGAGCCCGGGCCCCCTTTGTGCCCCTCCCCACCCCCATGCTAGTGTCCCGGCCCCCCGGCCTTGGGCACGTCTTACCCCAGTGGGTGCAAACTACCACCTCTGTGCTTTGCATTTTGCCCTGGGGCAAGTGACCCCTGGGGGACCGGGTGTGCAATGCAGGAATCGGCCCCTGTCTCTATGTACAGCTCCTTGCACGGTGGGGCCCTAGCCCTGCTGGGCACCCCCGCAGCACCCAGCACGATCCACAACGACCCCACCGTTCCCGCTCCGCGTCTGGGACGCGGGTCACGTGACAAGCCAGGGGGGTGTAGAGCCAGGTGCTGGGGCCAGGGGAAGGTGGGGCTGGCCCCTGGGGGCACAGGGGCAGGACTCAGCCGGGGTGAACAGTAAGGGGGGGGTCTGATAGCACCTGTGGGTCTCCCTCGCTCTCAGCCAAGTGGCACAGACAAGATCTGGCTCAGCCAGCTATGATGGGCCAGAGGCCAGGGTGAGGGGCTGGGATCCCCGGGCCGGAGACAATGGGAACTGGTCCTTCTGGCCCAGAGCTCCCCAGCTCTCCCTGGGGCCCGGCGTCCACCCAGGAGCCGAGACCGAGCAGAACTTTGCGTCTGGGCCGAGCCGGCCGGCCGGGAGCCCTCCAGCTGGGGGGGCGAGGGGTGGTTTTTTTTAACCTGCCGCGGGGTCCCTTTAAAAGGAAACAGGGCGAGAAAGTCATTGCAGTCCTGAAATAGGGCCCGGCTGGCACCGCAGGGGGGCGGGAGAGTGGGCCAGCGCCAGGCCTTTGGGTTTGTGGGCGGAGTCCACCTCGAAAAGGCTCCTTAAAAAAGGAAAGTGAGTGGCTGGCAGCAGGATCCCGCGCTGGGGGTTATATTTACCCGCATGACTCAGCCCGAACTCACCCCTGCCCGGAATCCGGGACACCGCGCCGGCCGGGGGGGCCGGAGTCAGGGGCACCAGGAGAGACGGGGTTAGCGAAAGGACAGCAAGAGATGATTCCCCTGCAGCGAGCCCACGGGGGGCTGGAATCTTTGCCCCAAGGGCTGGGGGGGGGAGGGGGACCGAGGGCCAAACTAGGGCTCCAGCCCACTGAGGATTGGGGAGGGGAGGGGTCCAGGGCCTGGCACCCCACGGGAAATACAAGGAAAGGGAGGAGTTAGACCAGGTGAGGGGGATGACTGGGAGCAGGCCTGGGACACCTGGGTTCTATTTCCAATTCCAGGAGGGGAGTGGGGTCTACATGGGTTAGAGCCGGGGGGGCTGGGAGCCAGGACTCCTGGGTTCTCTCCCTGGCTCTGGGAGGGGAGTGGGGACTAGTGGGTAGAGCGGGGGGCTGGGAGCCAGGACTCCTGGGTTCTCTCCCTGGCTCTGGGAGGGGAGTGGGGACTAGTGGGTAGAGTGGGGGGCTGGGAGCCAGGACTCCTGGGTTCTCTCCCTGGCTCGCGGCGGGCAGTGGGGTCTAAGTGGGTTGGAGCAGGGACCTGGGAGGCAGACTCCTGGCTCCCGTTCCCAGCAGTGGGTGGGGAACGGTTCCAGCTGGGGCAGAGCGGGAATCAGTCAGGACTCCTGGGTTCCAAGCTCATTCCCCGGCGCATGGCACCTCCTGGCTGCCCCGGCCCTGAGCTCCCAGCCGGCTGCTGCAGACCTGTGTCAGGGAGATAATGACAGGGCCCGGGAGGGGGTGGAGCTGGTTTTAAATAACGTGCAAATTGGACACATTAGTTGTGTGGTTTGTTTTCTTTCCAGCTGGGGGATCCTTCCCCCAGGGGCAGCATGAGTAAGAGGTGGTGGCTGTCCCAGCATGGGGGGGGCTTTTTGCCATCATCCCCCCACCCCCGGGTGACTCACCCTCTGCAGTCCCAGCAGCTCCCCAGGTGCCCCGTGAGGTCAGAGCCCTCGGCCACAGCCCAAACCAAAGGGTGGCAGGGGAGGTGCTTCACTCATTCATTGCCCCCCCTTGCCCACGGGGACCCAGAGAGGCTGCCAAGGGCCACGCCTCCCCCAGCACCGAAATACCCCGCCCAGGATTCATGCCTCGGGGGAGGGGGGGGCAGGACGCCTGGGTTCTATTATGGGAGGCGAGTGGGGGGAGGGAGCCAGGACTCCTGGGTTCTGTTATGGGAGGGGAGTGGGGTCGAGTGGGGGGAGGGAGCCAGGACTCCTGGGTTCTCTCCCAGCCCTTGGCCTCCACAGACTCATGTTGTTCAGTAGAGTTTTGCTGGGGGGGGGAGGCCGGGAGCTGCAATGGGGGTGGAGCGAAGCCCCCCCCAAGCAAAGAGCCCCAGAACCGAGCCGTGCCCGGACCCCCGCGTGCCAGCGGGCCGGGAGCTGGGCCCACGGGCCGGCCCAGGGACTTCGCGGAAAGCGGATGAAAATTGGGTGTGTGCCGCCCTCTAGTGGCGGTTCCGGGAAAGGCGCCCTCCAGGCACCTCCCAATTATTTGGGGATGGGCATGGGGGGGAGGGTCTCTTCTACCCTCTCTCTGGGCATTTGGTTTTGAACCCTGGTGCCAGGAACGGGAACTCGCCCCCTGCCCGCCCCCCACCAATATTATTAATCGCCTGTTTCTTTAAGGCCTTTCATCTCAAAGGAGCCCAGAGCCTCTTTCCCCAGCAATCGCTCCACCCAGTGCTGAAATGCAGCTGCCTCTGGGGTGGGGTGCAGCAGCTGTTTGGAGGCACAGGGAATCCCTCACCCAGCAATGAAATGCAACCACCTCTGGGGCAGAGCCCTGCAGCTGTTTGTCCGCAAAGCTGCCCAGGAGTTTGGGGCCAGACACTTAACCAAGTCCCAGGCCCGGGCAGCTGTCAGGGGTAGCAAGGGGTGGGTCAGGGTATAAACTCGCAGACACGGCAGCAAGGCCGGGGCACAGGCCCCCAGGGGGGTTTATTTTACAGCAGGTTCGATTCACACAGAAGAGTCTGGGGTAGAGACACAGACACAGACTGCTCCGTTAACTGCCCCCAGCAGGGCCGTGTCCAGGGCAGGGTGAGCCGGGTGCAAAGCCACAGGGGGGTGGAAAAACGATGACCAAACCCGATGGGCGTGTGTGCAAATACGCTCGCTCACCACGGGCGCTGAAATGCCTTGTTACGGCTCTGCCCGGAACGGCGCCAGGGCCTGGGACGCCACGCTGGCTCTGAGGGGCCTGCCCTCCCTTCACCCCCACCGGGGAGGTGCACCCCCCCAGGCTACACAGGAGCCCGGCCCGGGGTCCTAGCTGGGTCTAAGCCGGTCCTCCCCTTCCATCCGTCTCCTCCCAAAGCTAAGGGGTATTTGAGTTGCCAGGCTCGGCCCTGCCCCACCAAGCCACACCTCGCCAAGCCCCGCCCATCTCGGGCACGCCCTACCAGGCCCCGCCCCTCCTGAGCACGCCCTACCAGGCCCCGCCCCTCCTCGACATGTGAGAAGGCGAGAGGAGGGCAGGGGCGAGGGAAGAAAAGCGCAGGGCGCACGAGCAGGGCAGGCCCCCTCCATCGCCCTCACCCCCTTCTGGGCTCCGCTGCCCCACTCATCTCCACCCCCTCCTGGCCCCCGCCCCAGGCCTCCTGCCCTGGTTCCCCGGCCTCTGGCACCGCCCCCGGGGGTCCCCCTTCGCCAGCCGGGACGACGGTGGTGTCGGAGCCGCTGCTTTCCAGGCTGCTGCTGCTGTAGGCCAGGGCCCCGTGGCGCGGGCGCCCCCTCCAGGCCATGTGGCCACGCGGGGCCGGGCCCTCGGGCTCCTCGTCCGTGTCCGAGTCGGGCGCCGTGTGGCGGCGGATGCGGGACACGGCCTCGCGCAGGTCTCGGGTGCAGAGCGCCGGGCGCTTGGCGCAGGGCCGGGTTCGGGGGGGCAGGGCCTGCGGCTCGTCCCCAGGAGCCTCCCTGCCCCAACCCGGCCCCGGCCCCACAGATGGATTGGTGCCGTCCCCAGGGGTCTCCCTGCCCCCCGGCACCCCAGGCGGGTCTTCGGGGGAAGCGGCCGGACTGGGCAGCCCATGTACTCTGGGGCCCCCCACCAGCGGCTCTGGGCTGCCCGGAAGAGCTGCTCCCGCCTGCTGGCCCCAGCGCCCGGGGTCCTCTCGCTGGGCACAGGCCCCCTGTGGTCCCTCCAGGCCCAGCTCGGCCGCGGGGAGCCCCAAGATCCGAGCCGCCCTCTCCCCCAGGGAGCCATCCCCAGGGGAAGGGGGTGGGGGCCCTGCCGCCCGCTCGGAGGCCCCAAGGTGGGGTCGGCTGGCCAGGAGCAGCCTCTGGCATGGAGAGGCCGAGTCCCGGGGCGGGGGGGACCCCAGGAGCCGCACCTGCTCCCGCCGCGGGGGCGGGATGTACTCGGCGCGAATCACCACGCAGGTGGCATCGATCACAAAGACACCCCCATGCCGGCTTCGGCCTTCGGCTCTGGGGGACTGGTCAGGTGCCTTCCCCACGGGGCGGGGAGAGGGGGGCGCCCTGCGTTCTGGCCGGCCCCTCTGCTCCCAGCCCTCCCGCTGCCCACTCCTGGCGCTGCCCGCGGAGCTGGGCGCGTAGCCAAAGCCCCAGCCGGAGGGGAGTCGCTGCCGGCCCGGGGCAGAGCCAGGCCCCGCCGCATCCCAGCCCCTGGGGCTGCGGGCCCTGCCAGCCCCTCCGGCTGCCCGGGGCAGCGTGTGGCTGCCACCGTCTGGGCTGGACAGCGGGCGGAAGAGGGACTCGGCCGAGCCGCCCCGGGCCGTGGACTGCACTGCGCCCTCCAGCCCCGACCTGGCACGGCGCCCCAGGGAGCCCGACCCCGCGTGGTAGCTCCAGCCACCCAGGACCTCATGGGGGAGCGTGGCCAGCCGCTGCCGGGGGCCGCCTGAGCCGGGAGCGGGCTCCGGGCTGCCTCCAGCGGGCCCTGTCCCATGGGGCGCTGGCCGGCCCCGCTTGGCGGCCGGCGGCTTGGGGGCGGTGCGGGGCCGCTTGGTGGGGAGGGTGCGGTGGGGCGCGTCGTAGGCAGGGGGCGAGATGTAGGGCGGGGGCCGTGGCGCGTTCGGTTTGCGGCTGCCCTGCCCCGCCCGGAGCCGTCTCAGCATGTGGGTCTCATAGCTGGGGGGCCCAGCTGGGAGCACCTCCACGGCACTCCCTGCCAGCCGCCTCCTGCCCAGGACGCCGGCCGCTGCCCCCTGCCCCCTCCTCTCCGGGGGGGCCGCCCAACCCAGGCCCCTCCTGCCCTCCGAGACGCCCCTCGGCTTCCTCTCGCTGGGGGCGTCCCGGTCCCCTCGCGCCCCCTTCCCCAGCAGCCGCAGGCCCCGGGGGTCGCTGCTGGAGGGCGGCTGGGGGAG